CACTTACTGACTCAGCTTTCTTGATTGAAGCTTTTAAAGGATTCCTATCATTCATATCATCTATAGTTGGTCAAACAAACTCTAGGAAGCCTATAAGAAAATAATCAGAATAGAAAGCATAATCATGCTGACCATATTCTAGATAATAAGTATTGTCGAATAGCTGATAAGTTGTCATCAGTGCTTTGGTCGCATTCATGATAGACTTATTACAACAGGATGAGAAGCTTCAAGGAATATATATATCCTGATTCTGTAATATTTTTTTAAGTAAATAGATAAATCTAGATTCGAATCTGTTAAGGTGATTATCACTACGTTAGTTACCCGTCGGTTATTCATTTATTACGGAATGAACTGTTGAAAGTATTATGCAGAATCAAGTCGATTTGCGACAAGTACAAACTTTTAACATAATCATTACTAATTTTAAAGATGTCATTCAACTTTACTAAATGAGTAAATAACCATTCTACATAGAATTCCAAAGCCTCCATACGGTTTTCAATATGTAGGAATAAACCAGAAGATCAATTCCCTTCCATTTGACCACATATTATAATATGTAGTTCTGACAGTTAGTTTTGTTAAATTGTATCATTACATGTTCTCAAAATACTATCAACCATTATTAAGTACCATTTCCACTTCATTCTAGTTTCAATAATGGTCTATGTGTAAAGGGGTATAACAATTTTTATGACGTATGAATGCTCGAAAATTATCAACTTTTGGCAACGTTGTAGTATATAATTTTTAACTACTGATAAATAAATCAGTAATGTTTTGTTAAATTCAAAAAAGTTTGTAGGTCAGGCAATTTACGCCGAGTTATACATGGAAATCAGTTGTAAGTGCAAGAGTATAATTTATCGATAAACCAATCACATTTAAGATACCAGGTATTGAACTTTGGAGCGAAATTTATTCATTCCTTTGGCTAAATATCATTTTGGCATTTTAGCTGATGTCAGTTTGTGATGAAAACACTAAACATAATTTAGACGCTAACCATCAATTGTAAATCATAATCTTTATTATTCACTATGGTTTCTAACCCTCATTCAGCTCTCATAAGTAGGTGGATATTTTCAAGGTCACTTTAGCGTCACATGCAGTCCGTCCATACATAATAATCTATTCTGTTGTGAGGTAATCAGAGGTACTTTGTAGGAGTTTCGTACTGCTGTTTAAGATTCAAAAACGAATGGCCATCTTGATCAATAAAATACCATCAGCACTAAAGAATTAGACGAACATGATACTCTTGACTACTCATTGACCGATCGTCTGTAAATTTTTCCAAAAAACTATTTTGTATGATTGATGTCAGCTTCAGAATTTCCCATAATGATTGACGTTTTAAGATCTTACTGATCAGGTGTATTTGCAGGAAAACCACAGTATTTTTAACATTCCTTAACATGATGTTTATTTGAGACTTCACAAAGCACCTTTTTAATTTATTATCAATACCAAAATGCTCCCAAGACAGTCTGCTACTCGTTCCTGCCATCCACATATTTCAAAAAGTTGTCTGTTTTCTTGCTTGTTTTAACAAATCATTATCCTTATTAGTCGCATAAGCTATACAGGTTCGTTTGTTAAACGTTTACTACATGTCTCTATAGAAGTTAAAAAGGAGCCCAATCAAAGGCATTGTGATTGCTGGCAATATGCATCGGAATTAATGTACATTATTCAGATGACGATTCCTGACGTGCTAACATCTAACTGGCGACTACCTGATATTGATCGTCAGCATCGATCAATAAATAGGAAAAGGGAACTTGTTAAAATACTTCGTGCTGTGAATTTTATACCATACCAAACATATAATGTTGAATATAGTCACTAATAACGATAATAATTAACAAATATGTTATATACTACTAACTTATAATATAAGTAGCAAGCACTACATTTCGAAAGTTTTTGAAAACATCTATTTTTCTCCAATATAAAATCCATGAGGGGATATGCATCATAGTGGAAGTGTGAAATAATTTATTAGTATATACATGCTTACTATATGTGTTCATCGAACTGTCAACTTTACATTCAACATGGAGTGACCATCATCTAATAACATATTTAAATAGACATTATGATTCACAGCCTAGTTAACGTTAAATGTGGCAACAGCTTTGACACTGGAAGATAATTTCGGTGAAACATTATCATTTGACCTAGATATTTACACATCAACACTGAATGCCTTAATGACAAATAGATTATAATAAGCAAACATTCTTCAACGAAGCATTATATGTATTCTTTTTTGATTGAGATCATGAATCGATTATTGTTAGACTACGAATAAAATCCTGGAAGCACTGGATGGCTGTTTCGTCCTATTATAGAGTTCCTCTGAAGTGCGTTACCATGATCTCACACGCGGGACTCGAACACAGGACCTATTGATTCTACATGCTAAAGCCTAACCTCTAGACCAGTGAGCTGGCTGGTATCCAACGGTAATAATGTTTAACCTCAAACAATCCATGAAAATCGGCGGACATTGTACTGAGGTAGATAACTGTCTCTATCTGACACGAATTGGCTTCGCTAGTCGCGGCTTCTCATAATAACTCTGAGAGTTTTTACTCACGAAGCTGGTCACAAGTGAGCACATATATCAACATACCTTACTATCAAAAATGCATGTCTAGTTAAAGGTTTTCAATCATTAAATGAAAGAAACTACACTGTAGCGCCAGTAAAATGTCACTGAGCCATAGCCAAGTCACCCGACAGTTGGGTCATTGAGTATCGAACAGATCACTGATCCTCGTCAAGGTCAGGAACAAATAACGCGCATCAGTTATTCATACGCAGAGGACTGGCCCATGCGGTGGTGGTCGCACTTTCACTTATACTTATTACTACTAATATATTTCCACACTAGCGTCCTTTGTGTTTTACGATTTTCAAAACATCCATATGGTTAATCCACGTAAAATGGTGACCGCGAGATCTGAGTTCGAAGTTAGCCTTTGGTCACACTATTTCCGTCTAACTCGAGTTGGCCCCCAATCATTCGACATTGATCATATATGTTGGTTATCTACAATACATTTACACAAATTCTGTAGGTTTATTTAACCTCAACTTTGATAAAGACTATCGTTAGAACAAATTCCTTGTTGATTGCATCATATATTATGCTCTTATACAATTATTATAGCTACTACTCAAATATTACATAATTACTTACTTACGCCTGCTACTCTTTATGAACGAGCATAGGCCGATCATCAGCATTCTTAATCCAACTCTGTCCTCAGCACACCTTCCCAGTTCTTTCCAGTTGTTATTCATCCTTTTCATGTGTGCTTTTATTTCTCGACGTAATGTGTTCTTTGGCCTTCCTCTTTTTTGCTTCACATCAGGATTCCAAGTTATATCTTGCCACGTGATGCAGGTTGGTGATTTCCGTAATGTATGTTCTATCCACTTTGAACTAATTTACCCAGTCTCCTCTTCATTTGAAAGCTTGTTTGTTCTCTTACACAGTAGGCTGTTGCTGATGGTATCTGGCTCATGGATGTTGAGTATCTTGCGTAAACAACCATTTATAAATACTTATAGCTTCTTGATGGTGGTTGTTGTAGTTCTCCAAGTTTCAGCTCCGTACAGTAGAACTGCCTTGACACTCGTGTTGAAAATTCTGATTTTGATACTGGTTGAAAGTTGTTTTAAGTTCCATATGTTCTTCAATAGTCGGAATGCTGTCCTTGCTCTGCCAATCCTTATATTTATGTCTGCATCTGAACCTCCTTATTCATCGATGATGCTTCCTAGGTATGTGAAATATTGTACATCTTCCAGAGTTTTGCCGTCAAGAGTGATTGGGTTGATGTTCTCCATGTTGTATTTGAGGACCTTGGTTTTCCCTTTCTGTATGTTGAGGCCTGCTGATGTAAAGACTGCTGCTACACTGGCTGTTTTTATCTGCACTTGATCAAGTTTATGCGATAGGAGGGCAAGGTCATGTGCGAAGTGCAAATCTTCTAACTGGTTCTGAGCCGTCCATTGTATGCCGTGTTTTCATTCAAATGTCGAGGTCTTCATAATCCAATCGACCACCAGAATGAAGAACAAGAGAGAGAGTAAACAGCCTTGTCTGACTCCAGTCCTTACTTGGAATGCATCTGTCAGCTGTCCTCCATGCACGACCTTGCACTGTAGTCCGGCGTTTTAGTTCCGGATAATGTTGACAATCTTCTCACGAACTCCGTAGCGTCGAAGAATCTTCCATAACACTCTCCTATCTGCACTGTCAAATGCCTTTTAATAATCAATGAAGTTAATGTACAGTGACGAGTTCAAATATTACATAACATTTGGCATAATAATGTAAGTAGTATGTAACGTCAGTTAACTTATCATGGTTAACTTGTCAATTATTAATATAATTAACACGTACTCTTAATGTCATATAAAATTTTAAATCATTACTGTGAATGTAGAATGCTCTTGTTTGCATCAAGTATACACGACTGTATCCTGTACATTGAGTAGGAACTTAATACTAGCTTAATTACAACTGTAACACCTTGTGGAAGAGAATAGGTCACCTAAGAGGATTCTTCATCAAACTCTGTCATGAGCAATCCTTTCTCGTTGTTTCCAGTTGCTGTGGACACGATAATTTATGGACATCTTTTGAGTGACGCTATTGTAAATTTGAGGGTGTCAACCTACTTAATACGGCTAAATGACAATTATAAAGTAGTTTGAAAAATAGGGATTATGATTAACAGTTGATAGTTAAGGTCAGAAATTAGATTTGTGGTTGTTTCATCACGAAATGACATCAGCTAAAATGCCAAGACAATGTTTAGTCAAATGGGTGAATGAATTTTGCGCCAAAATGCATGATTCAGTTCATTTATATCTGATTGTTTCATTTATTGAATATAGTCTCATCATGAATACATCGTGAATTATTGAATTATTATTTGACCAAAGATAACACTGATTGATATGATCAATAAATGCGTTACTGGTGCGAGTGTTTAAGCGAACCATATAACAAGATTCAAATTATGATGATTGAGGTAAGCCGTGGAGATTCATCGCCACAATATGAAGTTGTAAGAGTAGACATTTTTACTTTATATGTTACTGACTAATAACCTCGATCTATTTACCAGTAGAACAATCCTCATCGTCTTCCTCATCACTTTCATTTAAAAATAAAATATTTTACTTACAACCAAGTTTTCATATGCATTATTTTGATCGAGATCATATATCGATCGATGCTGGATCATCATTGAAAATCTAGATATACTGGACGTTTGTTTTGTCCTGATATGATAACCTTGAGAGGTGCTCATCTAAAACCTCACACACGGAATTCAAGTTTAGGATCTTGAATCTCACGTATGAAGGCTTAACCTCTAGACCACTGAATCAGCATTCAACAACTTATATCAATCTTTATGAATGATAACTATTAAAACCTTCATGTACAGATTGTTCTCACATATAACATCACCTTAGCTTATTATTATAAATATATTTAATGAATCTTCAACGGTGTTGTCTATGACTCTTATCAAGTAAATCAATAATAAGTAGTGTATATTTTCATGGTTGTTATTTCCTTCATAAACACTCAGTGACTGAATACACCCAAATGTAAAACTGCTAGATCTCATTTACAAGACGCAAATCATTGAATTCTTAGAGGGGGCGGATAGTATGTTATGTAATCTATTATTATGCAGGAGACATTGAAAAAGCTTGTCTTTAATATGTTGATATTTATTATGAAATGGTGTAGATAATTTGTAGCTGAATTTGGTGATTTCGATGAAGTTTTTATTTTATCTGAGCTGGGTGGTTTAGTCATGGAGCTTTCATCGTCCTCCTAAACGACATCATCAAGAAAAAAACTTCAGATCAAAGTGAAGTGTACAAATTTCTTCAAATATTGGCTTGTGCTTTAGACATCGATGTTGACTAGTTTTTTGCTGATTTTAAGCCTGTCACTTTTCAGTTGATCATATTGTGATGGTTACTTCTCATTGAAGAACTTGAAATGTTTACTGCATTAGTATTGATCTAGTCAATCTGGACTAACCATCGAAGACAGTTATCCATGCAACATTTTGAAGTGTGACTTTCAATTAAACAGACCATATCGAAGTAATTTACTCACGTTGCAAGAATTCATCATTTACAGTCTTTTATATCAACAACATGTGCTTAGATTAGATTGTTTCAACATATCACAGACTAAATACTTTCACACAATCAATTAAATTCATTGAGCTTGATTACTGTAAATAAAATAGTATAAGAATATTTCAATTATTATATTATTTGTACTTTTACGAATCTTTAGATTTTGGGGAAATTACTGAACTGAGGAAATGTTCAATATTCCAATTTTTCCCACTTCATACATCAGATAACTTGAAATGTTTCAAGGTGTGCTTTGGTAACACGATTCACTTATTCCTTACATAAAAAGGTATTGCACAAAATATTGTGAAGTAATCGAAGATAGATGGTTATATTATCAATAAATAGATGGAAAACAATAGTTGTTTAACCAGTCAGTCAATAACAACGTATAACTTCGTACATACATGAATTCGAGTTGCCATACCACATTAGCACAGAGATGCAGTTGTCCATTCAAATCCCGTAGTGTTGGAGGCGGTAAGAGTATAAGCAGTAATGGGAAAGATTAGGGTTTTTTAACAAAGATAATCACTGAGTTCTATAACCTCTAGAAATTCAACTAGTAAGTTGGGATGAACTGATGAATGTCAGTCGTATAGAGAACTATCTTTCATACTACAACTTCATATCATAATCTAATAACGTTCATTTTCTCCATCCAGTTTCGGTATTGACATATAACGTTTGATGTGAAAGGTACTAAAATGATATATGTAAAGCATGTGCAGTCCACCAACACTGATGTTTCAGAATAGTTACATCAGGTTGGTGTTGATCGATTTCACAAAAAAACAATGTGGAATAACTCTTACTAATTCATTGCATTCATTAGCGTACTAGCATAGAGTAATAACTTTTATCCTTGTAGATAAACTTCTTGAGAAATATGTCTTTGTAGAATGTGATAAAGTTTTCAGTTACATGCAATTGTTAATACTTACTCTCCTGGTTGATAATTGTGTATTTTTAGTTTTTCTAGATTTCTTTTTGCGTAGTTGAACGTAAAATTTCTTTTTTTTAAATGTCTAATTTCCTCTTTTAGCCATTACCTTGTGGACTTACTAGTCTTCCAAATCCTAGTATATCCGAATCACTTGAAGATTCTTATTATAATTTGATAGATCCATTGATTTTATCAGCACTTCGTGTAGCCGACTCAAAACGTCCAATTCTACCGCATCATTCACTTGGAGTTGCTGGTACATTGGCTACGGCTGCTGGAAGTTTAGGTATGCATAATATGACTAGCGGAAGTAATGGTATTCCACCTATTAATACAACAATGGAGAAATCAGATACAAAACAATGTCGACTGAACTCATTGTCTATCGTGAATTCTTCAGACAATGAACAGTATAATTCTAGTGGATTAACAACTACTCGATCATCTATAGCGTTGTCAGGAGGTGGTGTAAGCACTGGGAATCTAGACTCGGATAATTTATCATCAACCAAAGATGGTATTGGCAGTTCACAACGTCGTAGAAGAGCAGCAGTTTTAGAAGAAGGACGTGTTTTAAAGAAACTTAAAATTAAAGGACAACTTGTTGATTGAAACTGTTATTTATGGAAAAACAAAACAAATTCGTTTCAAAATGTGACAATTTCATAATAAATATTTCTTCCTTTACCATGTTCTTTGCTTAAAAGATAATTCTCATTACCTACTTGATATCAGTTAGGATGAATGGTTACCAATTAGGAATCATTTAAAAACTGTTTTCTATACTAAATTGAACTTTGAACTTTCAGATTTGCTAGAAACATCTCAAAATATCTTTTTAATCTTTGTTTAGAAAGTCATGATTGTTATTTTTGACAAAGTTTATAATAAACTGAATACATTTATTCCTCATACTACTACTTCTACTACTATTGCCCCCAAATGCCCTGGTACGGCCGATAGTGGGAACTAAACTTGTTGTGATTGTTCGTGCTTATTGGTTGCTTGTGGAATATATCCCCTTCTTTCGAACTTGAACGTCTCTCTTTAGTAAGCTGGGCTGGTATGTGTTGGAACATCTAGTTTGTCTGTCATTGTGTCACAGAGTCTTCATTCCGCTCTCATAATCTCTCATAATCTCTTCAAACAAATCTGAATATCTTTTTCTTTAATAAACTGTTTCTTGATATTTGGTCATTTGTAGCTTTGCACTCATATAAGTTAGCAATCAATAAAAAAACATTAAAGTCGATCAAATTTATAGACAAATATAGAACCAAGAATCGAATCAAGCGGTGATACAATCAAAATAAAGAAGTTAACAATGACATAACTCAATCACAATCAAGGTTTACAGGACAACCTGTGAGTTAAATGTGAAGAGATTTGAACACTTCACTTCTACTTAAAGTCTGCGCCGATGATGTTACTCAGAAGAACGATGAAAGCCCCATGACCAAACAATTCAGCTTAGAGAACAAACTCCATTAAAGACATTCATCTTGACCTATAATTTATACTAATTCAGTAAACGTCTCATGAAAAGGGGAGTTCATCAAACAAAATAAACTACTTCTAAGGAAGCTGTTTAAATTATAGTTTAGATATTAGCTATGCATATTGTTTACACAAACAAACAAAACTTGATTTAATTTTAATCTAGAGGTGAAGAGTTCATGCAAGAGACCGATTGGTCTTGGGTTCGAATCTTACAAGGTGAGATCATGGATAAGCACTACTAAAACAAAACAGCCATCCAATGCTTCCAGGTTTTTCATTGTGGTCTAGCTTCAATGTGATATAATTACGTTAAGAAAGCATTACGTAACTTTAAACGTTGTTTAATAATTTTGAATATATGACTGATTACATAATTTAGTTTGAATATTTGAGCCTCATCTCTGTACTGGAGTACTATTTGTAACATTCCTAAATGCTCCTAACCAATGTTCAACTGTGTTCCTAAAATATGAAAGTAAGATGATTGTCAATGTATAAGTAAATAGAAATTAAATTGTAAAATAATCCTGGCAATACTCAGTTAACACTGGTTACTTTATCTTGATTGCATAAACATTTACGAATATACTATCCGTTGGTACATTCTATCATAGCACCATTTAGCTTATGTCTATTCAAGCATCGATGGAAGTGTTTTACACGGTTTATTTAAATGAATTTACACAATTGAAATCACAAGTCGATTTGAGCTAATTCACCAGTGTAAACCTTGTTCGGTTGGTAGGCATTTTCATCTTGGAATAGTAATTCTCAAGAATGTGCGGCAACGATTCCCTATGCGAGAATGGAACCTAGGATCTTCGAGTTCGAATGTGAATAATTAACCTGTTGACCATTCAGTTGCCACTCAACGGTATGAATATCACACATCAACAGTGAAAACTGTGAAGCACTAGACGGTTGTTTCATAATAGTATAGGACTCAGAAGTGAGCATCTGTGTCTTCACATATGGGACTCGAACCAAGGACCCCCGGGAGTGTGCGCGAAGATTTTACCTCTAAGCCACTGATTTAGAATCCAATCAATCTAAAATCTTGCACTGCCTGAGACAGATAACTGTCTCACACACGACATGGATCACACTGCACTATGCATATATCTATGTATATACCTAATGAAAAAGTAACTCCTAGAATGTTTAATATTAGAATAAGTATAAAGTATAATGTACAATGATCTTACCATATTCCATTTAGTGAACTACATAGATATACATGATTTAAAATAAAAATGAAATGAAATTTCCATATTCAATGGATTTATATGTTGACAAAGGATTTGAAACATTAACTTACTAAGGAACCAATCAGATTTGAGATAATATTTCTTGAATTTTGGCGCGAAATTCATTCATCCATTTGGTTTATTCATATCTTTGTATTAAAGTTGATGTCAGTTCATGATGATAAACCGTAAATCTAATTTCTTAATCTTAACCATCAATTGTAAATCACCATTCGAATTCCTTATAAAGGTTTTTAACCCTTATTTGATCGTAATTACAATTGATTGATCACTGGGTGGTGATCAATGTCATGTGTGTCAAGTCCTTATTATTAGTGCAGATTGAATGCTATCCTCCATGTTGCAATGCGGCCACCAGTCTAGGTGACTCGACACTCTGGAAACCCTGTTTCTTGTCGACTACTTCCAACCACCGTCTGTCCTTAATTCATCCTCGTTATTAAGTGGACACTCTCAAAGTCAGTTTAAGGTCACTCGAAGGTCGTACGTCAATTAAAATTTCAGCATAATTTATTTACATAAAACTGTAATGTGATACGTATTATGTCAATGTCTAAACGATACCAGTACATATTCAATCGCATATTATAAAATCATTTACATATTAACGATGTTAACAAGCATTAACCTTTGTGAATAGTGATCTGACAACTATAAGTCAACTTACCAAATGAATCCAATAAGCATTCTGTTGTGTGAATGAACAAGATTGAATCATTCAGTCATAATAACAATTATTATCGAATGATAAAATGAAATTTGGTTTCTGTAATGAGTACTGAATAAACAACCTAAAATGTTGACAATTGATTGATCACTAGGTGGTGATCAGTGTCATGTATGTTAGGTTCTTCTTAGTGCAGGTTGAATCTCATCGATTAAGTTGCAATGCAACGACTTATCTAGTTGACTGGACATTGCGTGCACTATGTTAAGGTAAGATGGTGGTTGGAGACAGTCAACAAGAAACCATGGAACTAGGTTTTGTGCTATTTGGCACTCGTCATCAAGGTTTACCTGTAATCTTGAGGGACTGATGCTGCCTAATTGATTCAATCCCATGTCATTCAGCTTCACAATCAGAGCTATTACTAATGCGCAGATCAAATCCTATCGACGAAGTTGCAAACCTAATTTTTTCTAAACAAATATAATGTGAAATTGCATGAAATAATTATTTGATTTTCAAAGTTGAATTCATGAGTTAATTTAAGCTAAAACACCATTGAAATCCTCGAAACACTGGATGGCCGTTTCGTTCTAGCATGGGACACTTTAGCAGTGTGCATACACAGTCCTGCACACGGGATTTCAATTCAAGATTATTCAGTCCCCACTTATCAGCGTCTAATCTATAAACTCCTAAGCAGATGTCCAATGATGTTTTTGTCTCACTTCAATCAATTCACTATATTGAACAATCATCTTTTCCCTTACAACCGACATGTTTGATTTCCACTAGTCACGGCTTGATAAAGAGAATAGTTCAATTGTCATGAAATTTCATACCTATAAGTAAAATGTCAACCGATATATGATCAAGTAATCAGTTTGACAAGTGACTTACTCCATTATTGACCAGAATTTTCTACCATAAATAGAACAGTTTACCATTAATATTAATACTCCCATTAACAATAACAGTATAGTAACATAGTAATGTACATCCATTCCAAACTATAAACAATGAATACAGTGAGTTGCATAACGTCCAGTTTTGTTCTAGTTATAAAAGAAATACATTTTAATTTGTATCATAAGAGATTTTGTTGATGTGATAGTAATTTCAATGGTTGAAATCACGAGTCAAATGAAGATAGATCACCATGGAAAACCTGGAATCAATGGACGACCATTTCATTCAATGGTGGATGTGTCACTGAATTTCGTGGATTAGATGAAGTTAAATATTAACAACATCGGACGATGATTGGTTCAGTGAACGAGATTGATAGGTCCTGGGTTCGAATCTCGCGTGGTGCTGGATCGTGGATGTGCACTGCCGAGAAGTCGTATACTAGAACAAAACGGAATTCCAGTGCTTACAGGTTTCCCATGGTAGTCTATCTTCAATTGACTCATGAATTTATTCAGTGAAATTTCTCAAAAATCTCCACAAAATCCCTTGTGATAATAATCATCTGCTCACTAGTGACTGGATTCAAGAGATATTCCTGGAGTTCTAGTGAGAAGCCGTTATTAGTGGAGTTCATCCAGGTCTGTTATGAAATATCAACTCAATGAAGACAACGGTGTACGGTGGCGCAACTTCGTGGATTGGTTGATGTTAGACATTAACACCTATGGATGGTGATTGGCTCAGTGGTCTAGTGATTAAGCGCTCGCACGTGAGAATGATGGGTTCTGGGAGCGAATCTCGCAAGTCAAGATCGTGGATGAGCACAGGCTGAGAAGTCACATATCAGGAATAAACGGCCATCCAGTGTTCCCTGGTTTTGCATTTTAGTCTAACTTCAACTGATCCATGATCACAACTATTGAAATTTTGATTTCATTTATATTCCACTTTTCAAATCATTTACACCAATATTTCTTCTAAACACAAATTCAGTTACTTACCCAAAGGATCCCCTTAAAGAAATGTAGATAGGTAATCAATGTAAGAAACTATACCATGATGATGTAATATATCGGTATCCATGTTATTCATAGATTGAAAGGTTTACACAAAAAGGATATTGTGATTAAGTGTATAGTAAGATGTTTTCTAATCTTCAGTTGATATACATTTCCACCTTAAATAAAAGGATGGAACGTTGTGCAAGATTATCAGTCAAATTGAGTTAGACATTAACATAATTGAATGCTGACTCAATGGTCTAT